AAAAAAAAAAAAATTTAAGACAATGTTTTTATGCTCTATTTAGTACTTATATCATTTTGCCTGATAATGAAACTTCAGTGCATTACACAATTTTGCTCAAATCAAATGATCTCCTTTTTCCATTATGGCTATATGCTCTGAGTGATCGATCACCTCCCTCATCTTTATTTATTCGTTCAGTAAAGTACTTGAGTTCTTACCTTGTACCAAGAACTCTCCTAGTACAGGGGAAACTACATAAAAAGGACCACATGAACCTGTCCTTGCCCTTAAAAAGGAGACAACAAAGAAGTAAACAAATTACACATTGGGATCAAGGCTGTAAAGGCACTCTACCAAAATTAGAGATTACAGAACTACTTTGAATAGGTGGTCAGGGAAGGCCTCTCAGGCAAATTTAGGCATAGACTTCAAGGAAGATTGTTCTGGATAAACAGTGTGTTCAAGGAAGAGGTACCAGTGTGCGCGTTTGTGTAAAAGGGGGGCAGAGGAAAGATAAGAAGCGCATTCATTCCAGGAATAGAGGCCAGAAAGTGCACCGCATACAGGAAAAAAGCGTGTCGAGTTAGAAAGGTGGCCAGAGTAGTTGAAGCCTAAGGAACAAGAGATATAAAACGAGGCTGTAAACGGTAAGGATCATGTCACATGCCGTGGCAAGGAGTCTAGACTTTACCTACACGCAATGGGAAGCTATATATAGGGTTACTTCTGACAGGTGAATTACACGATCCGTTTTTCTTTTCAAAAGATCACGCTGGTAAAGAGATGTACAAGAAAGGTTTTTAATATCAGATCCCAAAATTACGCACTTCTCCCTTCAGGTTTTCCACGTGTAAAGCAATTAGTTTGGGCCAGAGGCCATTTCTTTCCAGCGGCGATGAGCCTAGGCGGTTCAGTTTCCGAGAGCAAGGACCGCAGCAGATTGACCACAGAATTGCCTATATACCCGCCGGCGCCCAGCACACAACTGGCGCCCTGAAACTGTTGGTCAGAGAAATCAATCAATGAATGGCCTGCCCTAGCCGCGAGGGGGGGGCCCTGGGCGCGGGACCAGGCCCTGGCCCTGAAAGGAACGCGATGTGTGGCGCGGGACGCTAAGAAGCGTCCGACAAGGAAAGTGAGAGCCGGCTCGACCACAGCCGAGGCGTGCCGAGAAGTGGACCCGGGGCCTCGCAAGTTGAGGGCAGAAAGAGCTGGACTCGGGGCCCGATACCAGCAGCTACGAGGAAAGGCCGAAACGCCGAGGGAAGGATTCTGAGTTTAGGCCGGGCGGCCCAGCCACTCACCGCAGCCGTTGCTAGGCTGTGCATGTTGGGAGCGGCCGCCGCTCTCCCTCCTCCGCCAGACAACAGACCAGCGTCCCCGTCTCAGCGCCTCTGCCGCTGAAGATGAAGAGCCGCTGTAGCCGCCATCCGCCTCTGGCTCGCTCCGCCCCCTTCACAGCCCTCTGACCTCTCACCCCTGACCCCGTACACACAACTTCTTCTAGCCTCCTGGCTCTCTGCCTACATAACAGTTCCAGGGTATGTCTTTTGACCCTCAAGATTCAGGACCGCAAGGACGTTCGCGACCTACTAGCTTCCCCTACGCCTGGCATCAAGCAGGTATCCCCAGAGAGAGGCGTGAACTCTGACCCTTCTCCGAAGGCCAGGGAAGGGCGGGAAAAGACGAGCAGTCAGTGGAGGACATGTATTGCGCATGCCCGACTGGGCTGAGTCGGAGGGAAATTGTGGGAGGTCAAAAAAAAAAAAAAAATTGAGCAAAGTGGAAAATGCGCATGCGTACTAGAGTCACGGCTGGGGCGGGGCTTCCTGGGTTAGGCTTCGGAAGGCGATGGGCGGGGCGAAGGCATAGGTGGGGCGGAGTTTTGAGGCTTGCGCGCACGCGCCAGTTCTGGTCGCGTCGAGTGTGCGTGCGTGCGTGTTTGCGTGTGGTCACAGTTCCCGCCATCAGCCGCTCTCCCTGAGTGGGGGGAGCGAGCGGCCTTACTATTTCGTGTTCGGCTTCCTTTCCTTCTTTACCCCCGACTCCTCCCCTTCCGTGTGGGCTCTGTGCTTTCAGCTGGCTTGTCCCGGGGTTCCGGACCATCAGGCACAGGTAAGGCGGGCCAGGGTAGCTTCTCAATCGAGCCGTTTTCCCTACCTCCCCCCCGCCCCCGTGCTATTCGCCCACTCGGCGTTCACTCTTTGGGAGTTCACCCCGCTGCTGCTCAGCCCACCCCCAACCACTCGACGCTTCCCCGGCTTCACAGGTACTTTACTTGGGTGTTACCCCCTGGCACTTCTCTCCTCCTTTGACCTGGTCTTTGCTGTCACTCGCTCCTTCCGAAACCCTAACCTGGCGCCTTTTCTCTGGGACTGTCGTCAGCCTCTTGTCCCTTAACTAGGCCTGCTATCTCTTTAGGTGACTTTGGTTGCCGCACATACATTAGGCCTTGGACACGGGTATTCATTCACTCTCTTTCACCTTCTTTCTACTAACCATCCCTTACTAAAAGGCATGAACTGTATTTTTGTCTTGCGTTTTTTCCCTTATCTCTAGCCATCGGGTCAGGTTGTTGGGTTTATGTATTTTAAGCCAGGATCCATGAAAAGGAATGTTAATTGATGACAAAGTCTTGTGTTCTGGAGAGGTGTTCTGTGGTGGCTTTGTGATAGTCCTCTTAAAATCTCAGCTTTGTAAACGCCTTTATTGGGATGGTGGTGCCTAACAAGTCTCACTAGAAGAGATAATCTGAGGGGGATGTCAAGTAGGCAGTTGGATAGACTGGGTTGGAGAGCCAAGCAGAGTTCTGGACTGGATATATAATGTAGGTATGTATATGTATGTATGTGTGTCATCTGCCATATTGACTATGATTGAAATTATGGATGTGGATGAAATCGCCTAAAGAGAGTACAGTGCTAGAAAAGAAGGGAGCCTAAGAGGGAGCATCGAGGGATTCTTCACATTTAATAACTGGGTAAAGAAGGATGAGTCTTGCCAGAACTATGAAAGAAGTCATCAATAGTGTTGCACTCAATAGAAGTAACACACTGTATCCTGTGAGAGAATTAATGTACAGAACTGTGATCTAATAAAAAAAAAAATAGTGTTGCACTCTGCTGAAAGGTAAAATTGAAGAAGGATTGAAAAATTCAGCTTCATAAAAGTAGTCAGTTGTCTTAAAGGTATTTGGTGCAGTAAAATGAATATTTGAGTTCATTCCTAGGTCATCTTTTACTCTTCAGTTCCTCCCTAAGGGTTAAATTCCACCTATGTATTCGTGACTAAAGAATTTTTATTTGTAGCCTATTATCACTGTCTGCTTGACATCTGAACTTGATTTTTTTTTCCTTAGGAATTTCGAATACAACATATCAAATGCTAAAGCCTTGATCTTTCCACGTCCAGATTCTTTATTCTCTAGTGTTCTATTTCATTAAGTGGAGCTTAAGTTTCATTTATGTAGTTACACAGGCTAGAAACTGGATTTTCTTGACTTCTCCCTATCCCATGCTCTCTCCAAGTTTTATGTATTCTACTTCCAATATATATTTTGAGTCTATTTCTGTACATTGTGACTATTTTCCAGTTCAGGCTGTGATCCTTTTTCACCTGGACTTGATCACTTGGGCTCCCAGTTTTCTCATTTATAAAATGGGAATAGTAAAAATATCCACTTCATTGTATTGTTACGAGAATTAAATGAGATAACCATGGTAAGCACATGGCACACACTAAATGGCAAGTAAACATTGTTACTGTAATTATTATAAGCTGAACAAGGTCAATACAAGGTCTGGTTGTCCTATTTTCTTCCATAATTACTCTTTTTCATTCTCTTCCCCAAGTCCAGACTATATGACTTCTCTAAAAACCCTTCAGTGGATTTCCCATTGCTAAGTGCTTATTACATTTAGAATAAAATTAAAAATCCTTACGGTGGTTCACAAGACCTTGCACAGCCTGGTTCTTGTAACTAACTTCATTTTGTACCACCCTCCTTTCCCTCACTTAACTTTAGCCACACTTTTAATTTCCTTAGTCCTGCCAAGTTATATTCCAGTTCAGGGACTTTGCACATGCTGTTTGCTTGATTGTTCCAGCACCTCTCCACCAGTCAACTCATGCTGTGATTTTCAGTTTAAGTGGTACTTTCTCAGAAAAGTCTCTTCTGTTCTCTACCCTATACTCCAAGGTCTTATATGTTGTCTCATCATGCCCAGTATCTTACTTGTATTATTTTTCAGAACTTATAATTATATGTATTTGCATGATTATTAAAGTCTGTCTCCTACTAGAAAATAAGCTGGTAATTTTAGTTTTCAACAAATTGTTAAATGACTAAACTGGAACTTGCTGCAAGAAGCATTGCGTCTTTTGGAAGCACCAGCTTACTGATATTCTTGTCATCTCGTGATGTTTTTCATCCTGCATTAAAATTAAGGGACACAGAGCGGCGCCTGTGGTTCAGAGGGTAGGGCGCCAGCCCCATATACCAAGGGCAGCAGGTTCAAATCCGGCCCCTGCCAAACTGCAACAAAAAATAGCTGGGTGTTTGGCGGGCACCTGTGGTCCCAGCTACTTGGGAGGCTGAGGCAGGAGAATAGTGTAAGCCTAGGAGTTGGAGGTTGCTGTGAGCTGTGTGACACCATGGCACTCTAACGAGGGCAATAAAGTGAGACTATCTCTACGAAAAAAAAAATTAAGGAACACAGAAGAAATTTTCCAGCTTTGGAAACTTTTCTTTCATAAAATTATCCAGATTTAGACTCTGAAGTGATGATAAACTTTAGGTCAATTTTCTTCTTTCAGTCACAACACCAATTTTAATCGCATTTGTACATTTGTTTTATAGATCTTTTTCTAAAGAAAGAAAGCCATTGAAAATCTGAATAGTGGCTTATATGTTTTAACAGCCTGTGACACTGTGATACGGTGATGATTCCATGTTTAAGTCAAGTTGGAGAATGAAAAAAAACATAAAAAATTTAATAATTTTGGCTCAGCGCATGTGGCTCAAGTGGCTAAGGCGCCAGCCACATACACCAAAGGTGGCGGGTTCAAATCCAGCCCGGGCCCGCCAAACAATGATGGCTGCAACCAAAAAATAGCCAGGCCAATGGTTGTGGCGGGCACCTGTGGTCCCAGCTACTTGGGAGGCTGAGGCAGGAGACTTGCTTGAACCCAGGAGTT